TTTGGTGAAAGAGAGAAGGAGAAAGATTTGTTATTTTTATTTCACTGTTTCTTATTTTTTTCAATTAATATATATATATGTATATTTTTTTTTGGTGTATGATATTGATGTGTGTGTTTTTCAAGTGTTTTATTGATTTTGAATTTTTGATGGGGTGTGAGGTGCCTGATTTATGAAATATTTGGGGAATTGAATACAGGACAGGTATTGACAGATGAATGAATGAATGGCTACATTTTATTTGACTGTGTTGGGTCTGTTAGATATGTACCAAAGAGTCAAAACACTTAGAAAAATTGCTCTGGTCCTTGTGACAACAAATTTTGAAATATATATACAGTAATACTCCCCTACTCACGGTGGACACATGTTAATATGTCCACCGTTTATGTGACATGCCACATTGGTGATGTTAATATGTTCAAGAAAAATACATCACCAATGTGTGCATGTCACATAAGCGGTGGACATATTAACATGTGTCCACCGTGGGTAGGGGACATTACTGTATGTATATATACATATATATATATATTTTTTTTTTGAAAAAAAAAGCAGCAAGGAAGAATTCAAATTACAATCTCTATTTCTAAAAGGCAAAAGCTTTATAATTTTCTGTATCCTAGTGCTTTCACTTTCAAAAGCACCAGCATGACAACTCAAAACTTTTTTTTTTTTTTTTTTTTTTTTGGGTATATTAATATCTGTAGATAACAATCTTTCTTACCAATGTACCATATACTGTACATACATTTAGGTTATCTTTTTATTCTCAACTTTCAATGGTCCTCACTTACCTATCTATATGCACTCTTAGGTACTTAAATATGTGTGCACTTGTTGCATTCAATATTTTCATTTAATAATATACAAATAGAGTAAATTACAATTTTAATCATGCATGCTTCAGTGCACTAACTTTTTCGTCCTCTTCGAATTGCGTTTTTTTATTTTTGTCCTGTATGTTTGCAAAAAAAGGTTACAAAGGTCATTTTCATAAACAATGGACGGACGAAATTGGAACATTTTTTGCAAAATATATAAATGACCTTTTTGTTGCGAAAAGTACCTTTTTGCAAACATACGGAACGAAAATAAAAAACGCAATTCGAAGAGGACGAAAAAGTTAGGGTTGTGAAACATACACGACTAAAATTTCATTTTACTCTGTACAAATATGTGTATGATTAATATACAAATTTCATTTTGAGAAATAGCTTCAAACAGTTTACTTAGATTCTTTCATTCTCCTACCCTGTTTCCTGTTTGTTTTTCCCCAGTTGATTTTTCATGTTGATTTCCACCAGATATTAATTTAATATATCTGAACAAAATATTTGTGAACATATTTATTTAATTACTTATTGGGTTGTCTATTTTCCCATCACATGTAATCATTATTTATGCACAGCTGAATTCTTATCATACTTAGTTTCTTGATGGTATTCATGGCTTGAGTTACTTGTCTCCACATACATCTGTAAAAAGACTTGAAGAATGTTAGGATGGTCAACTCTCATTAAGGCTTGAGAATAGGGGTGTTCACGTAACGTTATGAAACTTTAGCTTACCTCAGCACATTAACGCTCGAGTCCGGCTCACTAAGGCTCAATAAATGAGCCGAGCTCGAGTTCGTTTAACAGCTCGATAAATGCTCAAGCCCGAGCTCAGTATCAGAAGCTCGAGCTAGGCTCAATTCGTTATATCTCTAGTCTGATCAAACTACTTTAAAGACGATTTGAAAAGTATTAGTGAATGTTAGGACAACCTAGACGATTTTTTCCCAATTAGGACAAACTAGATTAGCTTTCCCTTCACATACATATGGAACAATGGTTATTTCCGGGAGCTGCTTGTCTAGCCGTAAGTTGTCAATTACTTGATTACTACAATTCAGTCTGCAAGATTTGGTTATTAGTTTTTCATCAAGAAGCAATCTTTTTGTCTTAGTACATTTGACATTCTATGTATTGGTCGAAATATTAGGAAAATCTGTTATCGTTAATACATGTTTAACCAAGTCATTATTCATTATGTTTCTATGCAACTTCTTGTTGTCCTTGATAAGTTATTTTAGAAACTAATAATCATACATTTGCTGCAGGAGTTAATTTTAATTTGGCGGTCACTATTAATGTCTCGATTTTCTGAATTGTAAAGTTCCAATGTGGCAATACATTCCTGATTGAGGACTTATAAATACTACTTATCTTACAGCGTGCACTTATTTTATTGAGTATATATATATGTGCGTATATAATATCTCAATCTATGTTGCATGAAATTTTATTGAGTATTATATATATGCGTATATAATAATCATACAGTAATGTTTTAGCGTTCCTGTATATAGAAGAAATAATACGACAGGATATTGGTATGGAGAAAAGAAAACAACTATTTGAACAATTTTGTGTTGTTTGTGTACTTTTGTTACTTGTTTTGGCTTTTGTCATGTTCTGTATTTGGATTTCTCGGGGATTGAAATTCTGGCTTAACTTTAGAGTTTCATAAATCTCAACTTCTTGAATGGCAGATGAACATATGGAAGGACAACAATGCCGCATGGCCTGTAGCTAACCCAGTTATCACTTGTGCCTCCGTTTCTGATGCCGGGTTCCCTACTAATTTTGTTGCTGACCCTTTTCTTTACATGCAGGTAATTCTTATATTTCTATACTTCTCGGTAGTGGCTTTTAAAGTTTTTCTGTATATATCTGTTTGTTTGTTTTTGGCCTTTTGGGCATTTTTCCTTCTTTCTGGTTACAAATAATTTAAATATACTCACATTTCGGTTTTGCTTTTAGTATTTTATTATGCATAGAATGGTTAATGGAATATGTTCTTCTACAAGATGCTCACGAGGTAAAGCATAAAGATGCCCAATACGTCAAGTGGGTGAGGTGTAAAATGGATGTTGAGGGAAAGAATAAAGGAAATTAGTTCATCATGGAAGAATATTAGCATTTTTATTCATATGTTGGATTTGGTTTTCATATGTGCTTACTTTTTAGACAGCATTTACCTTATATCTTTAAGAAAAAAAGAGTATGTTCTCCCTTTGAAAACCAGGAATGTTAATTAATTCCCTTGGAGTTTTTTTTTTCCCCTTTTCTTTTTGTATCCCTCGAATTTTCTTGATATACTTCAGTTATAAGATTTACCTATTATTTATTCCTTTTTGTTGGGTTTTGTTTGGGGGGTGGGCAGCGTAAGGTGGTTGGTAAATTAGAATGGTGCTAAACTGCTAAATATAAGCTTTGGAAATGTATTTGAGACTACTATGCGAATATGTTTGCTGTGATGCAATGATGCTCAATTCTTAATGTCTTGCAACAATATAAACATGTGTAATAATCTGCTGTGTATGCCTTAATTATAGTGCTCATTTTTCATGATTGTTGCTCGGTAGCTAGTATGCCCATATAAGCTAATTCTTGGGGAGTGGTTAGTAAGAGTCGAGGGCCTAATAGGGGATTTTGCTTCTAGAGGCTTTTAAGCATGCAACTTTAAAGATTAACAGGATACTAGTGAAGTGGATTATCTGTTTGTTTGCTGCATAGGTACTTGTCATTTTATTACCTTTCGTATCACTTCATGTGTGAACAAACAAGTGGTTCTGTTTGCTAATTACCTGTGTGTATCTACAGGCTTCTCAGCTTTATCATTACTTTCAGCATGCGCATTTGGTTTAAGATTGTATATCATTTTGCATGTTTTTTTTGTTTATTTCTTGGTTGTAATATCAATGAAGAACTGCATTCAACAGATTCGGGTTAAGTAAATGAAAAAAGAAAAAAGAGAGAAAATTTGTTGATATTTACTCCAATTGTGGAACGCCAGTTATCTTTGAACTTACAATTTGGTGTTTGCTGTCTGTGTTTTCCCAGCATACAATATGGTTCTAATATTTGATCACGTTTTTCCAGGGTGATGTCCTTTACATGTTTTATGAAGCGAAAAATTCAATTACGGAGCAAGG